AGCGCCTGCTTGGCAAGCGCAAGGTCGTGAGTTCGGTTCCCGGTACCGGAGAAAAACCAAAAAAAACCAAAAAAAAAAAAAAAAAAAAAAAAAAAGAGGCTCCTGGCTTCTACTGGGAGGAGCACCAGGCACCAGAACTTCACTCTGTGCCAGTCCCACCTATGGAGCTGGGTGACCTCAAACCTCACTTGCAGGCCTTGGGGTAGTGATGTGTGGATAATCTCCACAGAAGCTTGGGTCCAAGAAAACACAACGTGGAGGTGCTAAATTACCTACCCTTCTTCCTGTTAATTTTTTTTCCATTTTCTGATTGAAAAGCTACAGAGTCAAAGCAACCATGACAACTTCCCTAACGTAATGCTTCAAACCCCCACATGAAACATTTACAATCCTCTTGGACCACCAAAAGGAAAGAGTCAGTCCTTAAGGAAAAATTTGTACTGCATATCCATTCACTTCTCCTGGATTCTTTTCACACACTAGCAGGTAGTCCCTCACACGGTGGAAGTCTAGACCTTGTTGGCTGCAGGGGTCCACAAATTCACACCTACTTGTGCTGCCTCTGGGATCTAGGAGCTTGAGCAACACCAGAGCAAGACCACTAGAAATTCTCAGGCCCTGACCACTGAGTCCTAGATGAACTCCCTCCAGCCATCAAGGGTCCCCACCATCATGATGGGAGCCCAAGGCCTGGCCATGTGCCCACTGCCCAGTCCCCAATGATGTCCAGGATAACGCTGCCCTGCTCCTTCTCTGCTCTGCTTGGTGCTGTGTGCTAGAGAGCGCCTGCACTGTGTGTCAAAGCAGATGGGCTTCATCATGGTATAGGGGATCCATGCATCTGGGAGGCTGAGGCAGGAAGATTGCAAGCTCAGGCCCACCCCGGGCAACTTAGTGACTCAGGGAGACCCTATATTAAAATTTTAAAAGGCTGGGGGAATAGCTCAGTGCAAAGACCCTGGGTTCAATCCCTAGCACCAAAAAGAAAAAAGAAGAGAAAAAGAAAAGAAAGGAAAAGAAAAGAAAAGAAAAGAAAAGAAAAGAAAAGAAAAAAAGCACCACCTCGGTGCTGGCCAAGGCTGCCAGGTACAGGTTGGCCTTACACACGTAGGCCTCTCCTCCCTCTCCCCACCCAGGGCTACAAGAACAACCTTGTAGAAGCCCTACAGGGAGTTGCAGAAAAAAGTCATGGCCCAGCATTGGGCCAGGCCATCCTCGGCGCTGAGAATGTCCTAGTACCCCTCCCCACCAGTCCTCCTGCACTCTGCCTGACCAGCCCAGGGACTCGAGGGCCTCTCTGTGGCCTGAGCCCATCGCAGCAGGCACTGGTAGAGCAGAGCCCAAGCCTCAGGTTCTGCAGGCCCATTGCTGTCAGGGCCTGCCCTACCCTGCAGTGTCACACCTGGTCTAGCTGTCCAGGCACACACCCTCCGGTGGGCCTGTTCCCAACTCAGCGCACTGCGGCCCTAGCACTGGAGCAGCCTGGGCCAGGTGGGTGCTCCTAGCACACCAGGCACTGGCAGAGAGTGAAATAGGTAGCAACACCCGGCCCCTTCCTGACAGGAACAACCCCTTCCCACTAGGTCCACCCCTACCACCCCTTGCCCACAGCTGGAGGCCTTCTCAACTAGTTGTCAGTGGTTCCAGAACTCACCTTGGAGTGAGTAGGGCCTTCTCTACCTTAATGACTTTTGGTCGACTCTACAAAGACTCAAAAAAAAAAAAAAAAAAATCAACAAATACAAATAGTAAACACAGTAATAGGCGAGTAAACAGATGAGGAGCTGGGGAGGAAGCCAAGAGTCTCCATGAATTGTTGCCTACCTGGAGCCCTTTCTGGGGCCTCACCAGCTGTGCCCCTGGTGGCAGTGTTCTGCCCAGTGAATGGGCGTTGGGGGTGTGGCCTCACACAGCGTTCTTATCAGGCTGATGGGGCGACCTCGCCCCATCCCACACTCAGATCACTCCTGACCCCTCAGCGGTTTGGGCTGGGACGGCTAGGAGGCAAGGAGGTTCTCACTAAGCGGGCGGGGTGGGAGCGCTGATCACTGTTGCCATTCAGTATTTTTCCTTTGACTACTGAATTCTTGGCATGACTTTGGGAAACACAAAGTAAGAAACCCTCTCTTCTGCGAAGTTTGCTGTCTCACGGGCCTGAAAAAGGAATGAGGGTCTCAGGTTAAATCTGAAGCATACAGCTACTCGCTGTGTGGCAGGCCCTGAACCAGACATACTCCTGCTTACTTCAAAACAAGGAGAGTTTTTAAAAAATTAATTATTTAAGAACTAATAAAGAGCTACAATCAAGTCAAGCAGGGCAGGAGGGCATCTGCAGGAAATTTAAGATGGGGGTCACTGCAGATTTGGGGGAGGGACTGCCTCAGTAGGACAGGAGAGGAAGCTCAGATGGCTACCGAAAGGGCAACTGGAAATGGAGGGAATCCAACACCGAGACTTTGAGGAAACTTAATTCTGAAGGAACAAAGCAGGCAGGATTCCTCAAGGCATCTGGCAGTTTTCTGCTCCCCCACCCCATCCTGTACTCAAAAGGCTTTTGAAAGGTTCCTCTTTCAGTTTCCAAACCATCCTGCCTGGCCAGGGCCTCCAAAATGCAGGTGCAAGTGGCATTTGGCCTTTGGTTGAGAAACCCTTTGAGAATCCCAGACAACCTGAGTAAGAAATTGGTGGGGGGGCCCTGGAATTGTACACTTTCATGAAGCTCCCAGATGATGGTGGTGTACTCTCAACTTGGGAGGTGGGGGGGACTAAACAAAAATTAAATATCAACATAGTGATAACTATGATAACATGGAAAATCGAATTGGGTCAAATTAGAGAAGGTCTTCGTGTCTGGCTCAGGGCTTTGAGTCTTACCTTAGGCCAGGCTGCTGTTTCTAGGGCCTGTGAGCCACGGACCACCTGCATCAGCATCTCCTGAGGTTTTATTTAAAATGCCAGCTCTAGATCTCTGCATGAAATCTGTGAGGGCAGAACCTGCGATTTTAATAAGCTTGCAGTTGATTCTATACTAAACCACCTAAGTTTGAAAACCACAGTATGTGGATGGTGGGAGGTCAAGGACTTTTAAAAGGTTTTCTGATTAAGAATTCAACCCCTATATTCTGACCTGGATGAGCATACAACCATGAAGATTTACCAGGCTATACTTTTAGATTAAAGCACATTCATGCTGTATGGATGTTATGCCATAATTTAACAAAACGTTGGATGGTATAAAACTCACCATGAATTAGGAAGGGTGGCCAGAGGGAACATGAGGTAGACATAGATCACAATCAAGAATTTTTTTTGAAGGCCTGTCCTTATTGCAGCTTTCTACCTGCAACAAAAAGATTGTGTCTTTGAGTCATAACAGAATAGTGTGCTACTATACCCTGGCTGCCCAATTAGGGCTTCTCAAAGTGTGTTCCTGGAAATACTGGTAGAATTGAAAAAGTCTATGGTGATTAAGTTTTTAGAACTTGCTTATGGAGATCCACAAGGCATATCAACATACTAAATAGTGAGTGTTCTATAGTGACAAGCTTTAACTTTGTTAATTTAGGGTTTCCTAATTTTACTAGATCTTAGAACTCCCTCTTTTACTTCATACCTATTTATATTTTGCAGACAGTCTTCCATGAAGCATATTTTGGGATGCTATTGGAAATGAATCTTAAATGACATGCAGTGGCACATGTCTATAATGCCAGCACTCTGGGAGGCTGAGGTAGGAGGATTAAAAGTTAGAGCCCACCCTGGGCAATTTAGCAACTTAGTGAGAGCCTCTCTCAAAATAAAATTTAAGAAAAGGCTGGATATGTAGCTAAGTGCAAAGGCCTTGGTTTCAAACCCTATTCCCCGTCCCACACACACACACGAAAAGAAAGGAAAAAAGAGAAAGAAGTGGAGTTTAAAGAAAATAAGGAATAAAGTGAGCTAGAGTAATGATAATAGCAGCTATCATTTCCTGAGCCCTTATGCTTTTACTTCTTCCAGTGGTTTACTAACATGTAACATGCACTACCAATCTGCTTTATGAAAACAGAGGTTAATTATAGATGCTCCTCAATTTATGATAGGGTAATGTCCCACTATACCTACTGTTTATCATAAATTGAAATATATGGTATGAGATACTTTATAAATGTACCATTAAAATATTGTGTCTTGCCAGGTGAGGTGTTGCATGCCTGTAATCCTAATGCCTGCTACTTAGAAGGCTGAGATGGGAGAATCACAAGTTCAAGGCCACCCAGGGTAAGTTAGCAAGACCTGTCTCAAAAATAAAATAAAAAGGGACAAGGATCTAGCTCAGTGCTCCCTAGGTCCAATCCCCAGTGCTACCAACACACACATACACACACACACACATACACACACACACACACACACAATGTCTTAGTCTGTTTTTTGCTCCTATAACAGAATCCCTGAGTCTGAGTAATTTATAATGAATGGAAATTTACTTAGTGTACAGTTCTGCAGGCTAGGAAGCTCAAGAGCATAGCATTTGACAAGGACCTTCTTGCTGTAGTATCCCATGGTAGGAGGCAGAAAGGAAGAAGAGAGCAAGAGAGCAAAAGCAAACTGAGCTCACTTTTATTACAACCCACGCTTCAGATAAGTAACCATTTCCTGTGGGAAGCACCATTAACCCACACGTGAGGGCAGACCCATGCTGTGATCTAATCACTTCTTATTAAAGCCCTACATCTCTACACTGTTTCATCGAAGATTAAGTTTCTAGCACATTAACTTTAAGGGACACATTCAAATCATAGTATATTGTTAAAGCAAATTTATTTGTACAAGTTGAAGAAAACAAGAAATCTTCAGAACAAAAATTCTCTTGGCTAATTCTTAGTTCAATAATTTTAGTGAAACATGGTTATAAAGTCAGTAGGATGAAACTTTTGCAGGATGAAACTAGCCTGTAAAAACATTTCTCCATTACAGAGTTCATCTGCTTGGTACTTATATGATGTCAGGCAACATTTCTGTCTTGAAATTATTATTAAACTTTAATAATCAAGCTATCAAGCTATCAAGCGAGATAAGGTACATTATAACTTTTAATAATTGTTACCCCTGTGGACATGAGCAGGAAATATTCAATGAGCAGACAAAAGTAGAATTTTCCTTTCCACAAGTCCAGATGTAGAATTTTATATAAAGAGAAGAAAGTGAAAATGTATTCCTTTATTCATTCATTCAATAGATTTTTAAGTTCTTACTAAGTGCGAGGCACATTTTGAATAACATACTGAAGCAGAGTTAATATCCCATGTTGTCCCCAAACAGAATTTTCATAAGCTCTAAAACATAATCAGAGAATGCTCAGATAAAACAAGAACAGACACATATTGAATACCTACATCTCAACACTAACATTTGATTTAAACATCTTAGATCCTATCACAACTGTTCAAGATAGATATTCTTCCAGTTTTAGAGATATGGAGTGGCAGACAATTTTTGTCCACCCAAATGTCAACTGTCCGTTCCTCTTTGCTAACAGAACCCCTATTTGCTCAGGTATCTGGTAGATACTCTTTGATCTCAACATCGTCTTATTTTCTTCTCACGACATTTTAATTGGCATGTAGAGTATTTGGTTTCTAGCTACAAATACTTAGGCCTATTAATGGTTTCTCCATTCCAATCACACAAATATATATCCAGGCAAGATATCGCTATCCCTGTGCCCAGGTCTTTGTGAGTTTCCTTCCACTTTTCTCTGTCATCTTACAGAATCAGGTACAAGCCCTGTCCGCCAGAAAACTTTCTTTTAACTCACTTCCTTTGTGTTTTGCTGGGAATCTGTGTTTAGGTAGTTTACCAGCCATTCGTTTGTATTTAATCTGCACTGGTAAACTGTCACTTTTTAAAAACTGTCTAGGTAACACTTTGGATGAGGCTGTAAGAACACTGCTTACTTTGTTTATTCCTCATTGGAAGACAACCTTCAGTATGTGGTGGGTCCTGGCAAACTCACTCAGCACCCTGGGAGAGTGCCCTTCATGAGAATAAGTGGTTGTCTGGATTATTTTCTCAGCTTCAGCATATAGCTCAGGGATCAGTAGGTAACTTCAGCCTCCATTATGAAAACATAAGATTTTGGATAATAGTTTTTGGGTCATGTTATTTTAAACATGTGAAATTAATAAATTTAAGTTCTTAGGAACATAATAGGAACTCAATATTTGACCGCTCTGTGATTATTTTTGTTGTTGTTACTGTTGTTTTTGACACAAGGTCTCCCTCTGTAGTCCAAGATGGCCTTGAAATGTGTAGCCCAATCTGGCCTCAAACTCATGATCCTCCTGCCTCAGCCTCCCAATTGCTGGGATTACAGGCAAATGCCACCACCCTGGTCTGTGATCTGTTTCTACTCACATGGCGGACACTAAATGTATGGGGGATTTGGACAAGACCATAAGATCCGACACCACCCAATCCTCCAACTCTCCAGACACCACTAGGGCATGCGCTGATTCAAACCAGTGTGACCCTAGCTACCTGGAGCCAGCATCAGAGTCCACAGGTTCAGTGTCCTAAGACTGCTCCACTTCAGACACCAACCCTAAGTCCCAAACTCTGACCTCTGGTTATAAACCAGAGGTTCCCACATCTCTAACAGCTCACAGAAACCAGGGAACCATTTTACTTACACTTACCATTTTAATATAAAAGATACAACTCAGAAACAGCTAAATGGAAGACATGCATGTGGCCACGGGCGTGGGGGAAAGGGCAGGCACTTCCATGCCTCTTGTCAAGGTAAAACAATGATCTTACTTTAATGAAAATAAGAAAATGGCTTATTCTGAGTCAAGTCTGAGTGACCACAGCTCAGGAACATGGATCCAAATTACCCTGAATGACGTGTTCTGTGGAAAAGGTTACATGAACTTTTATAATCACACAACAAGAGAAAATTATAAATCAACACATTTACCAAATGCACATGGTGTTAAGGAGAGGGGTTCAGTAGGTGGGCTGTAGCCAAGTGCGGAAATCTCTTCTATAGATTTCAGATGTCATCTTAGAGCATCTTAGCTTTAAGGTTAGTGTAGACCAGTGGCCTGCTGAGCTTAGCAATATATTTTGAGGAGATCACTTAATAATCACG